CAAATTACCATTTGTTCTCAATTAACTCTATTTTTATCTTTCAAAAGTATTACAATTTTTAATTTATGCAATTATAATCTGTAATGCAGTATTACAATCTATATTATGTAATCTACTATGTAATCGTGTTAAATTCTTATGTATTCTTTAATTTTTAAAAAATTCTTTGAGTCGATGCCATTTTGTAGTTTTTATTGATTTTATATCTTAAAAGTCAAACCATTTTAGTTATGAAAAGATTATCTCAAATATTATTTCCATAGAGTTTAGAAAATCTTTTAGGTTTATTAGTTCATATAAATTTGTTGACAAAATATCCAACATAGAATCTATTATTATTATAGTATATCTAAATTTTTCTAATCAAGTACCTAACGTTATATTCCTAAAATCATTCATATTTCAGAATCTAAACATTAAAAGGTTCAATGGATATCCGAATGTATATTTGATACTGAAATCTAATGTATTCACAATACTGTACTGTATTGTGAAACGTGTAATTTTATTCTATAAATAATTTTTAAATATTTGATTAACTTATTTAACTAATTATTAGTATTAATAATTTAGACTATTAACTATAGACAATTAATTTAAAATATATTAATAAATAAATATTTATTTAACAAAAATCTAAACCACATAAGGTATGGAATTCTTACAGAATTAAAGGCATAATACTATAAATATTTTATTGTAATTTATATAAGGTTAATTTACTATTAAGGTCTTAAATTTAAAATTATTTTATCACTTATTTATTATACTAAAAACATAAGTAATAGATTATTTATTGAAAATTAATCAGAATAACCTAAAGAATTGTATTAAGACAATTATATTAATAAATGAATCCGAGTCTGTTCAAAGTTTCAATTTTAATAACTTTGTGTCATTTTCAACATTATCATATTTTTATAGTTATATAACTTATATAATGTAAACCATATTTTTCATAGCAAAACCTGATTCAAATGAAAACGCCCACATATTTTAAGCCTTTTTATGAATTTTCAGATTTACCTAAATTTAATTCAATGTTGATTTCATTTTGTTGCTGTCATTATTTAATATAAATAATTTTGGTGAAAAATATTTAAATTCTTGAAAATTATTACTTAATTTACGGTACTTTAAAACACTAATTTCTAACGTTACTTCAATATTATGATGTTTGTGTTGAGTATTGTGTATTACGCTGATATTTAATATTTAGCCGACAAATATCAGTTAACAAATTAAATACATTAACAAAACAAATTAATATAATCTTATAAAAGATTTTTTTCTGGCTAAATAGTTTTAATTCATACAAATATAATTTACATTATTAGTAAAAATTTTAATAGAGCAAAGTATTCACATGTTCAATACTACAGTGATTTCTATACAGTATTACGAAATTTTAATATAAAACTTAAAATTGAAAGAATAGTGTTGTTTGACATGAACTAAACATATCTTTGAATTATGTAAATACGGGGGCAGATGATAGACCCGGTGCTACATATTTATGTCATTATTGTACTATTTATAAACAAATCAACATAAGAGGCAAATCGTTACACTTATAATGAGTTCATTACTTTATTATAGACATTTCACCCAATTCTAGATCACATAAACATAAAAATTAGTCAAACGTTTTCATAATCCGATTCCTATTGCACTCATTTATAGAAATGTCTTATGTAATGGGTACTAAAAAAAGGTTTCCCACATTTTCTTTTTAATATTTTTAAGAAATCAATTGTAAACAAATGAATAAGTAGTTTTTATTTTGAATTTAGTCAGTCAAAAGAATATTTCATTGTTTTAAACAAAACCAGTGATTTAACTTTAATTAAATATTTTTTACTTCATTAAAGTATTTTTAGCCGCTTCCTAATATACTGTATGTTTTCGATTTATTATGTGGGATATATATTGTAACAGGTACAAATAAATATAAAAGCAAATCAAAGACAAACCTCTTTTCCACTGGGAATGTGTATAGTGTTTGGACCCGATTTGCTCAAGAATTTGTTAACCAAACGAATGTTAGCAAAGGTTCCTCTCGTCATAATCGCATCATTACCTCTGATCATATCAACACAGATAGAGTTTATTTCATTAAAAATAACTGCATTCAAGTTCATTTCTTATAAGTTATATTACTATCAAATATAAAGATATCATTTTGTGCGCAAAAATATTTGTGAAAACATGAATATTCTGTATAATATTGTGAATCATATTATTGTTGTTTATAATAGGATCTTTTCAAGTTACCATAAATATAATTCAAAAAAAATTAAATTAGATGTTTCTGAATATAAGCGTTAATAAGATTAACATAATATTTAAATTAAAACACAGTACTGTATTATCACTATTAATATAAGTAATTATTTTAAAAGGATTGTATGAATACCTGCGCGAACCATAAGAGTTGAAAGCCGAGGGAGAGATTCTGGAAAAGCATAAGAAGTAAATATATTAATTATATAAACAATTAGAAACTAGTTGGCAATGAGGTCTAACCCCCTCTCCATTAGGTATTTGGCGGCCGGACTGATGCGGGCTATAGAGCCGGCGGGAGAGATGTGGTCCGTTGTGACCGAATCGCCTAAATGAAGGAGAACTCTGGCGTTAACTATGGGCTCTATTTTGGGTAACTTTGCTTCCATGTGATCGAAATAAGGGGGAGATTTGATATAAGTTGAGTTCGGATCAAATCGGTACAGGAGTTCATTGGAGGCATTCAATTGATTCCATCTCTCATTCCCGAAACGAATCTTCGAATAGACTTCTCTAAACATGACAGGAATCACACATTTTTGCTCCATAGAGTGGATCTCTTCTCTTTTGGGCCAAATGTCTCTCAAAAAGACATTATTTCCTGACATGTCTTTACCTAACGGTTCCGTTTCGAAGTCAATATTCACTGTTCCGGCGATAGCGTAGGCGACTACCAATAGAGGAGAGGCTAAATAGTTGGCGCGAGTGTTGGGATGTACTCGCCCTTCAAAGTTACGATTGCCTGATAGTATGCCCACAGAAACGAGATCTCCTTTATCTATGGCCTCCACCACTGATTCAGGCAATGGCCCACTATTTCCGATGCAAGTCATACACCCATAGCCAACGATATCAAAGCCTAACTTTTCGAGGTATGGCGTCACTCCCGACTCTCTCAAGTAAAAGGTAACGACACCACTGCCCGGAGACATCGATGTCTTTATATATGGCGCTACTGACAGACCTTTCTCCACAGCATTCTTGCATAACATACCGGCGCCTTAGGATCATTACAATCGCATTAAAACTTGTTTCATAGACTACAGTAATGACAATATTACCCAACATTACCGATGGGTTGCTTGTATTGGTACAGGAAGTGATGGCTGCGATTACAACAGAGCCGTGAGAGAGAAGGTATTCCTACAGAAAGACAATGTTTTTGGTTTATGATATCTTCGCGCAACGGAAACATTCATTTTGTAAGGATTTATTTGAAGTCAATGTAATATTTATGTGTTTTAACTAAATGTTTTGGAAAGTAAACCAATTTCACCAGATTTTTTGAATTAAACTTTATAATATTAAGAATTAGTAAGAAGTTCTATGTCTAGCTTAAATCTTAATTTTTAAAAATATGTTTAAAAATTGGCCCCTACAACCGATAGTTGGTATTTTAAAAATATCGAGGTTAAAAATAAATCAATTATTAACTAATTAGCACATATTAAAAAGTAATATAATGCTTAAATTAAAGTACTATACAGAATATATAAAATAATATCTTGAATATTTTTAAATTCGATATTTAAAAAATTTTAAGATTGATTTTCTAGTGTTAAGATAATACTTTAATAAATAATTTAACTCGTTTTAGATCTATTAAAGAGAATCTATGTTTTGGGGATTATTTTCTAGGCATCAATCAAACATAAAAATTAAATTCTCAAAATTTATTATTTTTAAATAAAAGGGAAATACCGGTAATTAACAATAAAAATCCTAAATCATATGAAAATCATGCCCTTGTATAGGTAATCTACATGTATTTAAAGCATTAATCTATTAATGATTTTGATTGTTTTTAAAAGTTATATTTAAGCGCAATGGTCTGACAGCCGGTAAATGAATAAAAATGAATAAAATTTGAAATTAAAATTACTTTGTCGTCGAAAATGAAGGGAACACTTGTATGGATTTGTTCACTCGATATACCAAAGCCTTTAAATCCAATTTTATTGGTTAAACAGTTTTGGAAGTCCTGTTTCATCTGCGAGACAGAGACCCTGTCGTGCGGTCTTTTAGGTCCGCTAACACTGGGAGTAATTGAACTCAAATCCAATTCAATCACTTTCGAGAAAATCGGGTCTTCATTAGAATCGTTGTAATCTTTTCTAAACATTTTGACGGCTTTTAAATAGTTTTCGGCATATTTTATGACGTCTTCCTCGCGACCCGTTTGCACCAAATAGTCAATTGTTGTCCGATCCGTGGGAAAGAAGCCAATGGTTGCGCCATATTCTGGACACATGTTGGCGATCGTGGCCCGATCTGCTATAGAGAGCTCCGAAACTCCCGGTCCGTAGAACTCAACAAATTTGCCGACGACTCCCATTTGACGCAAATTCTTAGTTATAGTCAACACAACATCAGTAGACGTGGCATAAGAGGGAAGTTTGCCCATTAGCTTATACCCGACCACTTCTGGCAAAACCATACAAATAGATTGGCCCAACATGACAGCCTCGGCTTCAATGCCGCCGACACCCCAACCCACGACTCCCAGACCGTTGATCATAGTCGTGTGCGAGTCCAGTCCCACAACACTATCCGGATATAACACATTGTTTTGGCTTTTGAAGACAACTCGTGCCAAGTATTCGAGGTTCACCTGATGGCAGATCCCAGACCCCGGAGGAATGATTGTCGTGTTCTTGAGAGCATTTGCTCCCCATTTTAAGAACTCAAACCTCTCTCTATTTCTTTGAAACTCTAGTTCTTCGTTGCGATGAAGCGATTCCGCACTAAACACGAGAATAAGAAATATAATGTAAAGGCGTTTATAATGATAGAAATAAATGGGAAAATAGTAATGAATCCAAACCCAAGAGACTTAAGCCGATGAAAGGGACAGGTCTTATGTTTCAACTTAAAGTCTGCGTAAGGATTGATACCATTATTTAAATTTTCAATGTTTTGAGTGATTAGTTCTTTTGGAGTATCTTTGTGTGTGTTAGGAGTGTGTGGTCTGAATGGTTGCCTGTTTTCCATAAGATTTGAGTTAAAGGATAATCCATTTGGCAATGAATGTCCTCCTCTGAGAGGAACAGAATTTTGGGACAAAGCACTCGCGAGAGCGCACTGACCACTTCCGGTACAATCATCGCAAATAGCATTCATGCCTTCACTCGGACTGCCTTTTGATGCAAACCTTAATAAACTAATGGAAAATTGGCAACAATTATGACAACAGTTAAGTCATCGCTTTCTGGACGCTTTGCTGACATTGTCTGCACTGAAGACATAAAGACATAAACAAGACATACGTTCGCGAGAAGTCCACCTGAACTGAGTGGTCAATGACCAGATCTGCCGGACATAACGGATTGATTTTGTTGGGATCGCCTCCCAGTCGTTGGAAAGCCTCTCGCATTGCTGTCAATACAACACATGTTAACCAATATATGACTCTTAAGATTGGATCACTTGCAACATTACCGGCGAAGTCAACCACTGCTGGCACACCAGTTAAGTCCTGTAATATGACTCTCGAGGGCTTAAACGGAATTTCGGCGTTTGATTTCTGCTGTATTTGCCAATCAATGATCTTCTCGACGTCCCTCTCCTTCACCTGAAATCCATCACAACTTCTGACCGCAGACTCGAGAAGAACTCGAATACTAAACGGAAGTCTTTCTGTAAATATATTCAATATATTTGAGACCAAATGCTAATTAATGCGAAAATATTTACCATATTTTGATTGATTAAGAGCGGGGACATCATAATACTGGTAATCAATGCCATCCACTTTGATATTCTTCAGTAATTTGGTGTAAGGATTCACTGGATTATTAATTTAGATTAAGTTCTAATAGTTAATTATTTTATACAAGCACATTTTGTAAACATGTATGACATATCTAGTATAATATAATATGTATTGTTAGAGTATATTGTATAAAAATTAACAAATATTTCGACCATGGAGTAAATTAATTATTATATTTGATTATAAATACAAAACACATACCATTTGAAGCCATAATTCAATGAATTATTACACGAAATACGTGAATATTTAAATGAATTGCAATTCAAAGGAAACAAATGTTTTGAGGAAATAGTTTGACTATTGATTTCAGGTTTTCCTATATTTATGGCTAATATAATGTCATCCAATAGAAACCTAACTATGAAATCATAACCGCAATAATTGTCTTAAAGTATTGCTTAATTGTTTAAGTGTTTCTCACTTTTACGTCAGTTTAAAAGTTTTGAAATATTATTTGTATCTATCAGTCGTTCAGTCATTTGCATTCATCGCTTGAGATATGACAGTATATTTACATCTGTGTTCACATACTTTCAAATTGTCTGTCATTCCCACACTTGCATATCATATCTGTAGTACTTATCCATATATGACATACAGAATTATATAGTAAAGTGGTTACAAGTACTGTATTCTGTGTATATTCTGTATACTGTATTCTGTATAATATATTCTGTGTTAATCATCAAACAAAACCTTTAATTCCATATTAATTTATTCATAACACTTTATTGCAGTTTAATAATCCAGGTCATTATTTATTTGGTAGTACAATAACTATTTCTCAATTCTATGCTAAAGATTCTGTAGTAGATTCAATTCTTCGCTATAGAATGGAATCGTTATTTCATTCACTTATTTTAAAAGCTTACTGTACTTGTTAACACTAATTGTCTTACTGTTAATTAATTTTTAATTTAAGTACTCTAGTAAAAATCAAAACATTAGTTTAATAATAAAATTTTATTTTACCGTAAAACGTGGAATTTAATAAATTTAAATTTTTAATATTCGTAATAATAGTTAAAAATAAATAGTTTATCAAAAGTCAAATTCCAAACAATATTGACAACCCTTTCCATTCTTTCAAATATATTACTCTTAATTATAATAATTGAATATAAATTAGTTATTTCTGTTTGGATTGAAAAGCAGAATATTCTGCGAATTCCAGTGAATATGTGACGACCGAAACACAAGAGACCAGATGTAAGGAATGAAGAACTCTTCGGGCTGTTCGTCCTCCACATAACGGAACCGCAATTCAGGGAATTTCTGTACAATTCATTCAAAAATACTGTCAATTCTCTCGTCCCTTAACCCAAAGAATAGTTCAGTTAAACAAACCTTAAGCCTATCGGAAGGCCACTGAAGAGACGACTGTTGTATGATTTCATAGACTTCCGAAACGGATAGGTTTCGATCTATGGCTTCAATTCGGTTCGAGAAGTACGTGAGAACCGTCTCAATGTTCATAACAATGTCCTGAAAGCACGGATGTGACTGAAAGGGCTCCAGAACTTGGCGCTTGTATAATAGAGTGTACACTAAATTTGGATTATTAGTCAACTGTGCGGCCAGACATGCATTGATAATCTCCAAAATCATTCGCAATACTTCTTCAAAAATAGACAAATCTTGCTGTAAATCGGGTGCCACTGAACTCGTCTCACAATCGGAGCTCACATCCGACTGGTCGATGCCATTAGTTTTGGTTTCATTCGTTTTCACCTCTTTTAATATTCGGTTAAACTTTTTTGACAACTTCTCAAACAAAGAGACCAGTCTTTGGCAGACATAAGGGTTGAGTCGTTTGAAGTGATTGGACATATTGGCTAAAGTGGCGCAGAGGTTGGTGTGAAGGAACCGATCCTATCATTGACACCCATTAGTATAAACCCATTATTAGTATAAACTATGGTATAAACATAAGTGCTTTTCAAACATTACCCGCGCTCTCGACATATTGTATTGAATTGTTCTGATTATCACAAGAATAATAAGTCCGCCCAAAGATATTTCCGTCAGTTGTCTGTCTGCATACCACACAATATTCTTCAATGTCTTTCAAGAGTAAAAACCAATTATTAGTATTCAATGTTTATATGCTATAAGTGGTGACACATACGATATCGTGAACGGATTCATTGAACAGATTATCTTCACTGAGAACTAGAAGAATAATTAATGCCATATAAATGTGATGGGAGTTGCGATCAGGAGAGGTGTACAGTATTTTCAATATAGGAATCACAAACTGATCCAAATCTAGGGCTCGACTCAAGACGAATGACTTGAAGTAATGGTTGCGATGGAGAAGCATATAAAGCAAAAGAGTGGTCTGATCGTCATTAAGAACAGTATTTTCAATATAGGAATCACAAACTGATCCAAATCTAGGGCTCGACTCAAGACGAATGACTTGAAGTAATGGTTGCGATGGAGAAGCATATAAAGCAAAAGAGTGGTCTGATCGTCATTAAGGGTAATGCAAAGAGTTTTATAGAGTGAAGCGAACTCTATCTTAAATCCGGTGACCGTCTGGTCGGCAGCTATTTGTGAATCCATTTGCGAATCACAACAACCTGTTTGTAATACCGGTTTCATAATTATAATGCACTTTATATGCGATTAATATAACATAACATTCACAACAAACCAAAGAGTGCTTCTCGATATGGATTCGAGTCAGTCGTGCAGTGATTCGTCAGAACCAGAAGCAGAAGAAGACTTTGTCGCGAAAGAAGCGGCGGTTTATCGCTTTCGACGCCTTTGGCTGCATAAACAGTATTTTCAATATAGGAATCACAAACTGATCCAAATCTAGGGCTCGACTCAAGACGAATGACTTGAAGTAATGGTTGCGATGGAGAAGCATATAAAGCAAAAGAGTGGTCTGATCGTCATTAAGAGTAATGCAAAGAGTTTTATAGAGTGAAGCGAACTCTATCTTAAATCCGGTGACCGTCTGGTCGGCAGCTATTTGTGAATCCATTTGCGAATCACAACAACCAAAGAGTGCTTCTCGATATGGATTCGAGTCAGTCGTGCAGTGATTCGTCAGAACCAGAAGCAGAAGAAGACTTTGTCGCGAAAGAAGCGGCGGTTTATCGCTTTCGACGCCTTTGGCTGCATATCCCAGTGTCAGGACATTCCAGAGTCCAGACGCCAGACCCAGTATAATACTGCCGCCCTGTAGTTCAGGTGCAGGTCTTTGACTCACAAAATTGGTTAAAAGGCTTTTGGTTAGCAGTAAGGCATGAATCGCACACTTCTTTTGCATCACTAGTCGATAGATCGACGACTTGTTGGCCGGTCGGGCGGAATACATCTGAGTCGACAACAGCACCAGTAGACCATTGATGGCCTCCAAGTGCAGGTTATATGTCATATCACTGCAACAGTTCCATGAGTTAATAGACTAATAAGTTATGATAATCAATGGTTACCTCAAAGGAATATCGACTAAAATTTCAATCAATGTAATCAACAGCTGTTCAATCATTACAAGACCCGACTCTTCGGTTTTTTTCTCATTCGTGTCCACTTTGGCGGTGAAGTGACGAATGATATTGTCTTCAGTGAGCGTTTCGATCAAATACTTGGCGGCCGACCGCAGGATGAAGAGCGAGTTATATGTTTGCCATACAATCAGATTATAACTGTTTGTCAATGAAATATCAATTACTGTCACTCTTATATTAATCATCAATACTTGTCAACAACTCATCCCTACCTCTGCTCTTCGCTCTTCCCTTCTTTCAATTTGGATGTCTTGTCGATAACGATGCGAACAATTGATCCGATATTATGTGAACTCAAGTTGTTTTCAACTAAACTCGAAAGCAATGGACTTATGTTTTCGTCGACAAACTTTTGGTCATTACTAGTGATATAATGATAGCAAACATGTCATGCAATTCAATGTGATTACAACAAGCAATCAAAACAATACCAGATTTGTGGCAAATTGTCGAAAGCAAAGGACAGCAACTGATCCCAGTAGTCATGATTTGACGGATCAGTTGACATGTGTTCATTGGACACCAATTTTGTCAGATATTGGTTTTGCTTCAAATTGTTTAATGAACTCACATTTAAGCCCATTATAGCACACAATGAAGCAATGGGTGCCACAGTCTATACACTAATACTAATACTAATTGATTGCAATTAAAGTATAGTTTAAATGCAATTAATGTATCAAACATTGAGTGAAATGACAAATCACTGCTTCACACACTTACATTGCATTGCATTACCAATACTGCTGTACACATACACAGCCGGCCCTCAACAGTCACGTGTCACCTCACATACAGTCCTGTTGTCAATATATTTGTTTACCACATATTACGTTATCACAGTTGAAGGTTAGGGGCAGAGCATTACTTACCTATCATATGATATTGTTATAAAATGTCAAAATTATTGTCAAACATTATTGTCGTAATAATTATATAAACAGATTAGTTATCCATATAAATTGTATATAAAATATTGTATGCTGGTGCGAGTTTGTCGCATTCAATGTGAATGAAAAGGGGGTGGGTTTACATGTTGACAATACATGCAATGTTGTGAACGTATTGAACGAATAGATTATTCATAAAAGGCGTTACTCTGGATGTAATGATATGCCCCTAAATGTGGGCAGTGTTTGGCATTTGTTTGAGCAGTGATTGGTTTGGATGCTCACAGTGCTGTCATATACTGTAATGACAGCCCATTTTCAGGCAACTCTATTGGATTGTATTGTTTTTAAGGCATTCATTCATGATTTGGTGTTTTGTTTACGTATTAATCAAATGAGTGTTGAATTACTGATTGAGTGAACGATTATGCAAACAATGCTATCATTAATGACTGTTTGCCACATATAGTGAAGCCATCACTGGATGACTGATCCCATCGATGACAATGAAGGGCAAGAAGTGGTCGTCTGAGTGGAGAGGAGGGCAGAGAAGCGATGCGTCCATTGATTTGCTTGAGTTGTCTCAACACCTGAGGAAGGAATACGTGTTTGTGTCGAACGAGAGGACGAATCTCCAGAAGCTGAACGAAAAGGTAATGAATGTGATGGTTGTGATGGTGGTGCTGATGGTGTGGTATTGTCTGACAGGTGTTGACGGCGTCTTCGCGAGTGTTCAACGCGTGTTACATATCGCGAGAGCAGAGGTCTAACTGCGAGCGCCTCATATCCCACGGAAGTACAGATCTACTCAACTGTTGCAATGCTTTCAATCGCTTGGAATGTCTTCACTTCATCGACGCCTACAAGAAGTTGTCGGCAAATGAGCCACAAATCGCTGAATTGATTGCTTTCATGCGAAAGAGTCCCGAATTGTTGGCTAAATGTCTGATATGTTTGCAGAAAATAAGACCCGAATTAGTGGACAGTATTTCGCAAATCGTTTTGTCGAGTCTTTACTCCAATTGTATCCTAAATGAAGACAAAGTGTTTGCTCTGAAGCTAATGAAACACTTAATAAGTCTGGAGTTGTCTGTCATCGCAAACCCGCGACGAGTATTGCGTTACAGTTGGTGTGCTTTCAGTCATATCTATCGTCTCTTTTGCGATCAAATATTAGACGCGAAGCCATTTCTAACGGCCGCTCTCTATGAACCAGTTATGCAACTGTTGGCCGAAGACGACCTCTTCCTCGATATGGAGCCCAATAGGGCTGCCGTTCGGTTCGCGCCGTCCGAACGGATCCGCCATTTCGGCAAAGAAGGCACTCAATTGTATTACGAAAATCTGCAGAAATACAGGATTTGGACGATCAATAAATTAGCGCTTTTTGTCAATAAGTTTGTCGACGGCATTCACAACAACATCTTCTGCTTCCCTCACAGTCTCTCGTGGATTGTGAGACATCTCTACTCAACGATAGTCGAGAACAAGAACATTGAAGTTCGAGAGGTCGGCGCTATTTGTACTGACCTTTTGTTTGGATTTTTCATATGTCCAGCCATTCTAAACCCGGATCTATTGGGTATCACCGACGCTCATGTCAGTCATATCTCACGATTTAATTTACAACAAATCGCACAAATCATTCAAATGCTGGCGCTCTCTAAATGGGAACAAATAGACCCCAAATTGGATGACCTCTACTCCAAAGTGTCTAAAGAGGGTATAACTAAACTCTTGGATCATATCCTTGAGAAACGTAACGACGAATTACCAGAAGAACACAATAATCTTCAGTTAGTCATCCGATCATCTGTTCTCATATCAGAGGCTGAACTCAAAACTTTTGTTCAATTCTTGAATTCATTGCAATTCGAAGCCGAAGACGAGAGCATTAAGAAAATGAGAGAAATTCTGGAGAAAATTCCCGAAAACTTTATTATTGAAAGCATTGATAAACTGAATTCGTCCTCAATCTCGGAAAACTCGCCGCGAAATCGGAGAAGTATTTTGAATCGCGTGACTAAGAGTAAGAAATCGAGTGATTCTCAACTGAGCACAAGTGCGAGTGACCCTGGTCACAATCAAAGCAAACTGAATGACGCACAGAATATGGATGTGTTAGTGATTGCCATCGGAAGCGGTCGCGAGTGTCCGGGAATGTTGTCCGAAGACAAGGTCTTAAAAGCCGAACAACAAAAGAGGTCCACAAAAGTGAGACTTAATTTAGACTTATTGTTGACTCAAAACATTGAGGAAACCGAGAGTGTTGTCAGTGCTGTCAGTGGCAGTGAAAAGAGAACTCGATTTTCATTATCTCAAGACCAGGAATCTATTGGCACGAGTGATAACTTAGAGGCCATCTCTGAAGCGGCGTCTAATCATTCGGTGGAATCGTCTTTGGATTTAGAGAATGAAAACGACAACATGTCTGACATGGTGTCTGCGAATGTGAGCAGTGGTAGGGGAACGCCTAATGTCAGCGGTAGAGACACTCCATCCTCTCATTCACCAAATCAGTCGAGTGCTTCATCTGACGAAGAGGTGGAAGACGAGCCAATGGCCGATGCAGTGGAAGAGCCGGTCAATATGGAAGTTCCTTTGCCGCCATCGGAGTCCGGTTCGAGACGATTGCACGCCATTCCTATAACACAACCCAATCGTCGCAACAATAGGGGTGATATCGAGGATAAGTTCGGCAAATTCGACATTAAGCCGATCGCAGCGGTCGATGAGACGAAGTCGTTGCTAAGCGACACGTGGAGTACAGATGTGTTGGGAAGTGATTGTGAGGCCTTCGAGCAAATGGAGAACATTTCCAATTTGCAGACTTCAGGCATGAATTTGCTGGCATTTGGAGGCCATCAGTCCCAAGCGTTTCAATCAATACTGGATTCGTCGGAAACCGCGAGTCAGAGCGACGCATGGAGTACAGATGTGTTGACATCCGATACGGAGAGATTACAAGAGTTTGATCCCGAAGACAGTGTTAGTGTGACTCGATCTGAGCCGGAAGAGGAGAATTTGAACACAATTTATGAATACAATAATATGATGGAAAGCCCAAAGAGCGGAACTCTCAAACCACGGAATATCAAAATGGGCTCCAATTCTTCGAATTTCTCACAAGAAGGCAGTGAAACGAATCCCAACTCAACGTTAGTTCGCTCCAAGAGTTCGGTCGCCAACTCTAATATTAATTCTTTAAAACTCATGAATTTAAGCAAAAGTGAGAGCGAGAGACAGCTCTCTTTTGGTGAAACCGGTTTCAGTGAAAGTAGCGATCATTTCGTGGATGGTTTTGCGATGTCTTTATCGCCGACATTATTGACACATAATATGCAATCACTCGGAAGGTTGAGCTTTGATGTGCGAAAGTTCGACGAAGACCTCTCTGTTCGGTCTCTAATTCACGACAACTTCTCTGCAAGTGTTAAGCCTAACGGTCAGTCAAACAACGGTTTACTCGTCTCTGAACTACTGTCCATTGATTTGACTCAAAAGAAAGTGACGAAACAAGCGAATCCCGAATTAACCAACAGTTTGATTGACTTTGAGATGGAAATGACTGATGGAAGTCAGGCGCAGTCCAGTAGTAGTTGTGTTAACAATGAATCCATTGATTTAATGACTGAAATGCAAACCGAAGAACCAATGAATTCAGTGATTGAATCAAATGAATCCCAAATAAGCTCTTCCAATGCAATCACTGACATTGAGATTAACAAAAGTACTGTAAATAATAGTTGCAAACAAAGGGCTATACAGGAATCAACCGGTGCGATACCAAAGATCCCAAAACCCATTATCAATCTCAACACTCGTCTCCATCAGTATGGCTCTAACGATGACGACATTGTCCGCCACTCATCCAATAGAAAGGGTTTCTTCAAACTATCAAACTTTAAGTCGACGTTTAAGGAGAAAATGCGGTCTTTGAAGGACAGGAAGGGCTCTTCAAACGACGACTCATATGATTTCGAGTCCTCGCGAACTAATCGATCAAATCTCGATTCCAATGATTCCAGAAATGAGTCTTCAGATGAGATTTTAGCTAAATATCGGGCAAAGGGTTCCCAATTGAACACAAGTACTGATGAGATTACACTGAAAGCCAATTCTGATTCTATGAATGATGAGGAGAAAAGTGAATCATTGGATGAATCAGAGGTTCTGGAGATCACTAAAAGGAAATTGAGACGAGTGTTGAGTTGTATTGATTTGATTACAATTCCCGCTATTATGAACGAAACGGATACTAATAATAGTAAAACTAAAATCAATGAAATAGTTCACATTTTAAAGGTAGTTATTTGAATATGAATTTGTCGACACAATAACAATATGATTAATATATGGTTTATAATTGAAAGTTACTTTTGGCGGATGCGATCAATCTTCGAAATACAAGTCATTCGGTTTTATTACACGAAACCCTCCGAAGTATCGAATCGTTGGATGAAAACTCATTCCAGAAGTTGTTTTGGTCTCTAAGAGAGGACTATAAGAAGAGGAGTGTTTACATGGCATACCTGACCCGTTGTAGACAACAGCTATTGTCAGCGTTGGCCTACTTTGAGAGTATTGTGCAGCACATCGAACGCGAGAAAAGCATTTGTTCTCATAATTTGATTTCCATTTCTGTGAAACAATTCCTCGAACGCAAGGAGAGAAGCGTTCAGTTATTCATTAAGAAGTTTCAGTCGTTAATAGCGGCCGACGAAAAGACCCAATTGGTCGACAAATTTATGGCTTTCCTGGAGAGCACTCTCAACAGTGACAGTCAGTGGCAGTCGGCTAATGAGGAACAGATAGAAATGGCTAAACAGCTGATCGAAAGGCATGTCATGAGTCAGATATACATTCACGCACTCTATCCTAATGGCGATGGAGATGTATTACGCGATCAAATCCTCTACAAACACATCCAAACCCTGTCCGCAACCATTACACCGAATCACAGAGATTTGGGAATTCCTAAAGTGTATCACTCGGAGAATCCCTGGCCTTCAGCCCAGTACGAGATCCTAGCGATTGGCGCACATAAGACACCGCGAGATAAAGTGCGGTGTGTTGTCAAGTGCTGCACCAATATTATGTATCTGTTGAGTCTCGCCACCGATCGGTCGGTTCCCGCAGCCGATGATCTCATGCCTGTCCTCGTCTTCGTTCTGATTAAAGCCAATCCGCCGTCACTTCTATCGACCGTTCAATATGTGAACAGTTTCTATGAGAAGCACTTCGAAGGAGAGGAAGCCTACTGGTGGACACAATTCTGTTCAGCCATTGAATTCATTAAAACTATGGACTAATCCATCCATTAGTTGAATATTTTATTGCAAACAAATTAATAGAATTAACAAAAATATATATAATTTTTATGGAAACAAATCATTCATTATTTAAATTAATTATTTATCCAAAAGTTATAAAATTTGTTTTAATGTCAAATTAATTATGTTTTATATAAGGAATAGTATATTAATGCATTAATACAGTAATATATTTCATATAAATATTTACTTTAATTATATAATAAATGCTCAGTTTTTAATGCTATGCTATTAATAACTCTTATTAAATCTATGAACCCCTTGGTCTCTATTCTCGCAAATCTATGAACCCCTTGGTCTCTATTCTTACAAATTCAAGAGGACTGGTCTCTGCAATACTCAAACAATTTCATAAGGTCTACACTATTGGCCTTGGTCATTTGCAATTCTTATCTGTCAACTATTAGTTCATGTGTAATGAAAACTTTTTGCAACTGCCATCAAATATTCTCAATTGAGTGATATTTGAGGCATTATGTGCAAGGTCATTTATTGTTAGACAATCTGGTTCGTAGAACTGTAGATCTAAATTGATTGCCCAATGTTTGCAGTTTGAGTTATCAATGACTTATCATACTTTCGTAATACATTTATACAGTGTATCAGTGTTTGCATTGAAAGGTTACCTCAATATATCTGTCATAACATTGAAACTATTGGTGACATAAATCTCTCGAAAGCGTAAAAACAGCTTTGAATTGAAGGCATAGGCATAGCATAGGGTTCGATAATTCTCTATTTTTACGAAATGTTTCCATATTTGCGAGCCTTTAAATGGGAACACATAATGTTTGCCAGTATTATGTGAATGTTGCCGAAGGGGAGTGTATTACTCAATGACACAAACAAATGATTGAAACTCTTGTTGTTTACAATTTTGTAATCATCAGAGTTTGCAGACTTGTGGACACAGTTTGAGACAATTATTTGTGACAATAGCTATGAGTCAGAGGTATAACGCGAGACGTAGGACGAGGTCTTCGTGCGATCACGAGAACAGTGCGGATCAGCTGAAGATTATCCACGGAATCGCTTTCTATAAGAATAGGGTTTGTTTTGAATGAGTTGTCTTTGAATGCATCCATTTATTGATGTCTTTGATTCACTCAATGACAGAACCATTGGTCTAAAGTGTGTTCAGTTCTCAAGAGATTTAAAAAGGACTCAAAAGTATATATAATATATGCATATATTTTGTACCTTGGTGATTTTAAAATATCATTCATATAATGAATAGTTTTGCGATTTTCAACTCAAAGTCGAGGACAAGACCTTCGATGTCCATAGAGTCATATTAAGCGCTTCCAGTCCTTACTTCGAGGCCTTGTTTTCAAACGATTTGCTCGAAAAAGAGTCCAAATTTGTTGAACTCAAAGACATTTCGGCCAAAATCTTCGAGGAACTCATTGAATACATATACTCTGGAGAACTGTCCATCAATGGAGACAATGTCCAGGAATTGGTTTCTGTGGCCAATCGCCTCGAGTTGAGTGAAATTGTGACCATTTGTTGCCAATATATGACTAAACAATTGGATCCAATCAATTGCATCGGAATCTTAAGATTCTCTGAATTTCATTCATTTACTTCTTTGCGCTTCGATTCCAAGCGTTATATCGAAAGACATTTCGCGGAAGTCGTCAAAGAAGAGGAATTCTATGACTTATCTAAAGAACTGTTAAAAAGCTTTCTTCGCAGCGAAGGTCTTAGTATTGATAATGAGTTTCAAGTATTGGAGGCAACGGTTAAGTGGATTCTCAAAGACCAGTCCAATCGGTTCCAACATTTCGACGAACTCATGGAATGCGTGAGAATTCCTGTCATTCCTATCAAACAATTTGAAGCGTTTATCAATGACTGTAATCATGAAGAGCTGAAGACTAAACTGGAATCAGTTCTTCACAGCCATAAGGAGGCCATCGCTTCTGTGGAGAGCAATAAAAAGCTGAACTTAATTGCCATCAATTGTCACAACAGTTTAGTTAATAATGGCTTTTATGAGGTGCGGTGGCAGCCGAGGATCAACGCTCGCAAATACATTTACGTCATCGGAGGTATCCATCAGTCCAGTCATCGCTGGAATGACGCAAAGCCCGTCGCCATCACTGAACGGTTAGACATACTTCGCGGTCAATGGAAAGCACAGCCGAGTCTTCAGTATCCGCGCAGCTGTCACTGCATTGCTGTCCTCAATGGCCAGTTGTATGTCGCGGGCGGTGAATGCGATTCACTCATCTTAGACAGCGTCGAGGTCTATGACCCGCAGAATAATGAGTGGACTAAAGGCAAGAGTTTGCGACAACCGCGCTCTTGCTTTGGTATGTGTGCCGTCGACTCATACATCTATGCGTTCGGCGGTTGGATCGGCAATCTGGTCGGCAATAGCATCGAGAGATACGATCCCATCACCAATGAGTGGAATATTTACGATAAGTTACCGGACATTAGGTTTGCGATGGGAGTCATCACTTTCGAGGGACTCGTGTATATCATCGGAGGCTTTAATGAACAGAACCGCGTATTGAAGAGTGTTATCAGTTATAATCCGGTGACCCATGAGTTCAGGAAGTTGTCCGATATGAATCAGAGTAGGGCTTACTTCGGGTGCACTGTATTGCATGGCATGATATACGTTGTCGGCGGCACTAATGACAAGAATGTCGCCCTCTCTTCAGTCGAGAGATATAACATCCATGAAGTGAGTGTTGGAACCAATTGTTGAGTTCTTTTCTTACTTATGATTGCATCCAACAGAATGTATGGTCGCGAGTGTCCAACACCCCGAAGGCGCGCATATCTTCGTGTGCCTGTGCTGTCAATGAATGCCTTTTAGTATTTGGAGGCAAAACATCTGGCGATGAGTTCTCCATTCCTAATACTATGGATTCCGTGGATATCTTTGATCCGGAATCTAATAAATGGAACGAAAGTATTCCTCTTCCGACCAGTCGTTCCGAAGCGGCCGTCGCTGTCATCTGAGGCTTACGTGAAATAAATTAATTATAATTATAGAATACTTTTATTCAATTTGTTTCATATATTATAACAATCCGTAAAGTATTGAGCGCTTAGTTTTCGATCAGTTCTATCAATGATTACAAGAACTTTGTTTTAAATTCAGAACAAATCATGAAATCAAGTGCTAAACACTAATTGTGATAATGTCTACATATTATCATTAATTTCATTGTTATACTGTAAGTCTAAAATCAAAGCAAATAATTCATAAAATATAATCTATTTTTTCAATCATGTCATCAAATTATTTCAAGAGTATTATTAATATTTTGAACGTTAAGACACATTACTCCCTGTGCTCACAAAACTTTGTTCATTTCATTGGATTAATTCATGAAAAACATGTTTTTCTAACGTTTCAAAATGTTGTACAATAATGTAATTATGAATACAATTACGGTAGTCATTTAAACGTTTAACCATTGTTTGCAAACATTAATATCTTATTCATTAAACGTCGACTTTTGTAAGACTTAATTGTCATTATTTTTAGTTAAGTATTGTTTTTATGTTTCTAATCTAATTAATTTATAATCAAATTAATCATATATGAGAAGTGATGAGAAATAAGTGAAGGGCTGTTAAAACGAGTGACTAGTGATGTGACTCTTTATGAGATGGGATTATGGGTTCAATTATTGGTCTTTCTTTTTGGTTGTTTCCGACTTTCCATTGCGAGACATTTCACTCTTCGCATTCGGGTCGCTGTTTCCTTTGGCTATCATTTCATATACAGTATTATCAATACATGAGTTGTGGTCACGCAGTGAGGACTGTG